AGCTATAACATCTGCTACAGTTGTAAAAAGATGATGATGCAGTGTAGCCTCCATTGGCCAAGGTTTAATGCTGATATCTTCCTACACTGACATGAAAAGATATCTACTATTGAAGCCTGTATTATAAATAATAAATCACATGGTCAGAAATCATCAGTTCAGAATATGATCCTAGTTCCTCTGTTTTTACATAAGTTTCTTTTTTGAGACAAAACAGGAATAGACCAAAGATCTGCCATATAAAGTTTGGAAACTGAACCAAAATTTTTCACTTCTGATGATTTTATTGTTTGTTTGAAATTTGAGCACCAGTCTTAGAATGAACGTGTAAACCTCATTAATATTCCTCAATTTCTAGAACCACTTTAGCTATACCAACTGATAAGAATTAAGAGATTTACCAACTGAAATATTACAAATTTCATCCTTATGATAAATGTACTGTTGAATTCAAAGTTTCCCCACAATATCCAAAATTACTTTGGATTTGCTCACTGTCTACTCTTGAAACTTGGCTGTTTGCCAATCAAAATATTAACAGCCAACTTGAGAAGGATTGCAGACACCAAGTGACAAATTCTTTAAAGAGATGACTGGAGACAGTTGGAGATTCATCAAGTCCAAAAACAGATAAAGTAACAGTCAAAAAATAAAACATTAAAAAATAGGGAAAAAAAAACCAAAAAACAACGACAAAGCTGAGGAGACCAGATAAGATAAAGTATATAATAGTGGTTGGATAGCTTGTCATTCCACTTGTATGCATGAAGATAAAATTTTGATGGAATATATTTCCAAAGAGATGTTAATTGGTAGACATAGTTTGAATAAAATAATGGGCCATCTTGAAAACTCCTTAATCAGATATACACTTTAAAACTCTAAGGTAATTGTGGCCTCTTCAATGCTTTTGAATGTTCATCATGATATACAAAAGTATCACAAAAAATATAAGCAAAAATAATTTTGTTTGTGATAAAATGTACCATCTCTGTCTCATGAAATCTAGAATTGTGGAGTGCCATATGTTGTGATTTCTTCTATTCTGATGTAGAAGTACCCCTTGAAAAATTCTTCAGCAAGGAAATCAGTAACTTACTAGCAGGGTAGAATTAATCTTTAATGAATTTATCAGTTCTTAGAATGAAAAATTCTTCAGGAATGCAATTATTGACTTACTACCAAGTTAGAATAAATGTATAAAAGCTGAGAGAAAACATTTTGATTAAATGAATAATTATTTTTCAAATTTGTTTAAAATAAACATATAAGTTCATATTGAACAACCCCATATTGAACAAGCATTATGCTGTAAATTAAGGTCTTTATTGGCATATTTAGTTCCTTTTATTATTTGAAGTGTAGACAGCAAGTGATCAAGAAAATGTTTGTTTTATACAAATGCGGCAAGAGGATGCGCCTGTTCAGTTTCTCTTGTCTTATGTGAGATATGTTTGAAGAGAAATTAAACTACAAGCTTCATAGGTACCAGTCCACTTTTCTAGCCACTTAATTATCACCTAGTTATGAGTTCACACATAGGTTGATAGAAGACAAGCAGGTTATTTGAGTTGAGTGATGTGTTGAAAAAAAAGATTGAGGAGAGATAATATGGCAGTGTTTGCTCCAAGCTATGCCATGCAAATGGTAAGGAAAGGTAACTCTATCAGCAGATCATTGACTTTAGGCAATGATTATAAATACAAGACTTAATGAAAGTAGGATGGTTGGGGAATTTAACTAATTAATGAAAAAAAAACTTGCTTCCTTCATTGGTTTGACACAAGTTCCTTAATATATAAACAAAATAGTCTATACTCTGAAATTTCAATTGTCTTGAACAGAAATAAGACTGCAAATAATGCTAGGTAAAGTTGTGATTTACTTCAGTGTGGTTTGTATGGTGTTAATGTTGATTTTTAAGCAATGATGTTGATCTAAACAGTCCTCACAAGATTTTCACTTAAGTAGGTTATGTCTTATATTGAAACAACTTGAACACTTCATTAATACCCAAAAAGTAACCACTTGTTCCCAGCTGCTGTTAGCAGAACAAACAATGATTTAAAAACTGGCAAAATGTCCTTTAAAAAAAAATAACTTTTTTATGCTACTTTCTAAGAGGAAAAAAGAAAAACACTATGTCCCAGAATATGTTTATAAAAATAAACATGAAGTTGAAAAAAAAATTGATTGTCAAGGTATTAAAAATTGACACAGGAAATTCTGTCATCCAGGTTTTTTTTTTTTTTTTTTATATTAAAAATCCAAATGTCTGAATTCCAAACAAATAATAAAATAAAGAAAACATTGTCTCATGCCTGTTAAATAAAGCATTTGTATTTACAAACATATGTACATAAATCCAAGAGATTGAAAAAGGAGTAAAAATAGTCTTTGTGTATTTTGTTCACAAGAAAATCTGTGGTTTAGAAAAAAAAACTTTGATCATCAGTGAAGATTCACTGTTACAAGCTGTTGGAGATAATTCATTTAATGTCAGGAAAACGTTTGTTTCAGTATGTACTGGAGGAAGGAAAAAATTATGTAGCCACATCTTCTGTTGTGTTTGAACTGCAACTGAAACTTTAAATCTGTGGGTTTTTATGACGATATCCCCTGCACCCCAAAAATGGGCTTTTCTTGTTCTCTGATAGATCAAATATTTAACATAATGATGTTATTTTATAACCCACAGACACTTTAATTTAAACTATATGTGTTGTATTATGGAATCTTTTTGGCATGTTTGTAAATATTGTCTGTTATTGAGTAGAAACTAAAATTTGGGTGTCTTTTAATATGGTATGTACATGGGTATATAATTGTGTTGGAAATAGTTTTTCTTATAAACATGGTGAAACTCCTTGAGTTATTGACATGATACAAAGACCACATATTTATACATATTTAACCCAATTCCATCAGTAATACTAATTACTAACCCTTAACAATACTTATTTTCTTTTATTTGCAATGGATTTGTGAACATACAATGGGGCCCTGTCTTTCACTGACTGGACAAATCAATCCCCATGTGACGTTTCACTTCTCATTGCTGGTGTGTACAAAGATAGGAAGAGATGAAATCAACAGTAAGAAATGAATACAGTTCTCAATAATCTGTTATTTATTTCATTGAGGTTTCCAGTCTCTGACCTAGTATTCTCTGATATGATAGCAGGTAGGTCACATATAGGTCTCTTCAATTTCTTACTTCACCCAAATGTAACTACAACAAAACTGTTTGGACTGATGGCGCCTTTCTCTGTCCACTCCTAAACGAGATTCTACTTATAGTGGAAATCTCTGGTTTCCAACAAAATGTCATTTGATCTTTTTCTTTTTTTTTTATTTATTTATTATTTTCTTCACTCAACTTCAAAGACTTTTTCCCCCTCATCAAAACGGAAACCAACACTTCTAACTTAAATAACATCATTTAGGGCCCCATTTGACTTCATGTGTGTTCAGTCGAGCAGATGGGGGACCCATTGTGTCACATATTTACATTTTTATATGGGCATACACATACACACAATGAAAGAAGAAGAAAAAAAGCAATCAACCTTGAACCAATGAAAAGTGCATAAATTATTTTTTAACTCTATATAAAAGTGACGAAAAATGAGAAAATAAACAGTTATTTGTTGGTATCTCCTGATGAGTAGACAGGGTAATTGCTGGAGAGTACAAAACTAGAATGAAGATGCTGAAAATAACATCATTCAAATAAGTGACAAATTTTATATTTGTATTAATCCTATATATATATATATATATATATATATATATATATATATATATATATATATGGTATACACAGTTCAGCACCAAATGGCAATTTGATTATATTCAAGCATGAAAATAGATATGGCAGTTAAACTCTGTGTTCATAAATATAGCATACCTTACCATTGCTGATGATTGTCTTTATTCTTAACCAAAGAAAATTCTTTCCTTTTTTTTTTCTCTCTTATCACTATTCTTAAGTACCAAAATTAATAAGACCCATATATGAAATTGAATTTATGAATTCTCTTTTTTTTTTATCAAGAATTGACAACAAAATAATTAAACACTATTTATTTAATTTGATTGTTTATTTACAAGTTTATAAAAAAAATGTGAATCAACAAAAATGCAATATTTATTATTTCCCACATTTTAAAGAAATAACTATGAAGATGATTTTTTTTTTTCTTTTTTCCGAAATTTATAAAAATGTCTTAGAACAAGAGAACAAAAAAAATTAAGCAAACACATGATGAGTATCTGCAATTATGAATTTAAAAAAAATATGTATTTCTGTCATTTGCTCTTGCCATGCAATTTAACTAAAATAGTTTATTAGCAGCTGGATTTATACTTTTTTTTCCCCCTCAAATTGATATTAAATAATATTCATTTATTAGACTTATTTGCAAGAACAGTTTTTAATATTTTGTTGTCAATTCTCAAGGAAAACGAGAAAGCATAAATCGTATTTCATGTTTATGCTTTATTAAAGGTATAAATCAAAAGTTGCTGAGGGAGTCGGCAGTTATGGTGGTGTCATGAGTAAAAACATCTTTTTGACACCCCTTTTTTTTTTCTTTTTTTTTTTTGTGGTGATGTATACTAAATGTTGCTGAATATTTTTTGATTTCTCAGAAGTTTTCATGAAATCAAATCTAGTTTTTAAACAAATGATAACAATATGTTTATACATGTAGCAATATGAAAGGTAACCAAGAAAACAGTCTCAAGTTTCCCAAGAATTTTATTGTCATTATGGTGGTGCACAGTAAAAAAAAGTCTCTTTGGTGGACTTACCAAAAGACCAGCAATAATTTTGACAGCATCAAATGTGGGCGATTGGTGAAGTTTCAAGAGAATTAAAAGTTCAACACCAAATATTCAGAAACATTTGCTTTTTTAAAAACTAGATTTGATTTCATGAAAACTTCTGAGAAATCAAAAAATATTCAGCAATGTTTAGCATAACTTCAGTGATTGTATGAAATACAGGTTCTCATACAATCACTGAAGTTAAGCCAAGTCGAGCCTGGTCAGTACTTAGATGCATTACTGCCTGGGATACCAGGTGCTGTAAGCTTGGATGTGCAGATGGTGTAATGCATAATGCTTCGGAATTGAAAATTGGATAGACAAGTTTTAATTCCAGTCAGGTTCCTTATATATGAATCCACTTCTTCTCCCCTTTCCTACGGGTTAATTAGTAGGACTTGTATCAGTAGATTATTATTATCTCCAAAAAATTCTTACAGTCTAAAAATATTTTCTGGCTTTAAATTACCTGATAATCCATAAAAAAATTTAAGAAAAAAAAAACAAATAATGATTTTTTTTTTTTTTTGATTTTTTTTTTTTTCATAACTTTTGTGGCAAAATGTTTTTGAAATAAGCTTATTGGAAATACTTAGTTTTGTTTGTTAGCCAGAGAACTGGATCTACCTTAGAATTTATTTGAGAGAAAGGGAGAGGATGATTGTTAGTAGATTCTAACTTGTGAAATGGATTTACATCACTATTATGGCTCTGTGCCTGACTATATGAAATTAGTCTTATTCAATGGTGACATAGTTTGTCTAAAACTTAAATTTGATTCTGTAGTATTTTTTTTTGTCTAATGTACAAACTATTTAATAAAAAAAAAAAACTTGTTCAAGATTGATACCACTTGATTGGTTCAAAAACAGTTGTTCTGTTAATGACTTTAACTAAAACTGATATCTGCATCAAAAACACTCAATGTCATCAATATTTAGATGTATATGAGATCCCATCGTCCTGTCCATTGGTCACTGCTTCCTATACACATTTCTTCCTTCTCTGATATAATATCAATGCCTTTGTGTCTGGTTAGATTGTGCCACAAAAGGTCATGTAATTATCAAATTAATCAACAGTCAGTAAAAAATTTTTTTCATTTTTTTTCCCCTTAAAACATCTCTCCTTGTTAAGACTGCATCTTCATTTGAAAACCAATTTCTTGATTAGTATGGTATTCTTTGTTTTTTTTATATGTCTTCTTTTGTTTGATAAAAAAAAAAAGTTACATCTTCATGTTAATGTTAAATTTCTTTATATCACACTACACTCACACTCTAGTCTTGTAGACTCCCTCAGGAGTCTGGGGCCACAGTTGTCAGTACACTAGGTATTGTTGCTGTGGTTTCCATTGTTACTAGCAGACTTTTATGTGATGGAATTGCTAGCCCCATATCCAAACAGTTTTGAATTCAGAGTTGTCCTTCTCTTAGACTCATTACAAATCACAGCAAAAAGCCCAGTCTTCCCTGCTATTTAACCCATAGCTGAGGGGAAAAGAGATTCCAACAGTATTTGTACATAAGCAAATGCAATGAACTTAACAGGAATTTGAACTTGGCTCTCGTTTCTCATTCCAAGCAATTATCAATTATACTCCCTGCAAATCTTTATTTCAGGCAGGCCAAACTTTTTTTACTTGATGTCTATATGGTTTCCGTCTTTGTTTCTGTCTTGAATAGATTACTATTTTGTGCAACATTTAGCTAAAAAACACCAACTGTTCACATAAAAGTGTTTGTGCTGCTCTTGGATATAAACATTAGGTGGGCTATAATTTGCCCAATTCTATTTTTGTTAAATTGAACTTTTGAAATTATATTTTGATTAAAAATACTTCATCAGTCAACTAAGTCTCTTCTGCTCTTTCATGTCATAGTGATTGAAAATAGACACATGCTCTATGGCAATGTTTCTCAACCTTTTTAAGCAATGGCACACCTAGAAGCAAATGAAAATATTAAGACACACTTAACAAAATTTTTAAAGTGTATACATTTAAATATTATGAAATAAAACAATAGATATTTTTAAAAAATCCACACACAAATATGAACTTACTTTATTTCAATGTTTCTATTCAATGATTTGCACAGATTATTGAGTGTAAAACCTGTGCTTGGTGATTTTCGTAATTTCTTCAATGTTTGACTAAATGTGTGATAAGCAGACCTTCATTTCTCTTTCAGTTGTGTGTAATCATTCTCACTTCTTATTTTTGATGTTATTTAGGATTGAAAAACCAAATTCACATAAATGAAAATTGCAATAAAAGTGGTAAAGCTTTTTAGCTAATGTGGAATATTCCTTTTGTATTGAAATTCAAAAAGTATCAATGGGTTCCGTTGAATGTTTCATTTTGAGCCGTTGATCACTAGAAATGATGATCAACTATTCTTCTTCACATGACTGAAGTCCAATATTAGAAGGAACATAATGAAAAGAATTATTTGAAAAAAGTTTAATACTTATCCATTTATTCAAACACTAAACTATATTCACACACACATGTATGCTGTGGCAATATTTCACAGCACACTTAAGAGGATCACATGGCACGGTGGTTGAGAATCACTTCACTATGGGAATATATAATTGTTTTTCTAACAGTACCACTTCTTAACTTGAAATTCCTTGTCCTTTTGTGGAGAAAAAATTCTGTGCTTACTTTTCTCTTATAATATTTGACAACAAAAGCACAATCAATAAGCATTTTTCTAGTATTTTTGTTTCAGAAGATCAAAAAAATATTTGACCGAGTCAGCTTGTACTATTCCTATTTAATTAGTTAAATGTTTGCTTTTTTGATTCAATGGAAGGTATTTTCTCTTGGCAATTTAATACACTCGAATAATACAACCTAAATCTGTCATCAGTGAGTATACATTATAATACAATAAGTAACCAAGTTGTATTCTATTATTTCACAAGATGAGTAATGTATTATAATAAACTCGGTCAAATAATTTCAGACCAAAGTAAGAAGGCTCACAGCCACATCACATTGAAACACCGGTTGCTGTACAGTAACCAAAGTTAAGCAATGTTGAGCATGGTCAGTACCTAAATGGGTGACCACTTGGGAAAACCAGGTGCTGTAAGCCTGGATGTGTGGGTGATGTAGTGGGTAATGACTCAGAATTATTAATGAAAGAGCTGAGTTCCAATTCCTGTTGGGTTTGTAATATTCACTTCCATGCAAATACCCTTGGGAAAGGTATGAATCTACCTCTTCTTCCCTCCAACTATATGTTAATTAGTAAGACTTGTATCGCTAAACCATTATCTTCCTCCAAACAATTCTTACAATCTAAAAATATTTTCTGGCTTTAAATTACCTGTAAAAGGTTGATAAGCCGTTGAAAACTAATCAATTAAAACGAAGTAGATGAGAAAATGAAATTTTTTAAAGATTAACTCTTTAGCATTTAACTGCCCAAACCCACACTATAAATATTGACTATCAGTGTTCACCACACTGTAAACTGCCCCATCTATACTCTGCCATAATATATGACATCATCACAAATAATGCAGAAAGTCAAGCAAACAGTGAGATTTTGAGAGCCGATATTTGATGGGATTGTGTTGAATGCTAAAGGGTTAATAAAAACAACAATATTCATTTCAGTTGGTACATTAGTATAAAAGTCTACCAGCAGAATGTGTCTAGACTATCAAGATCTGTTTTTTAAACTTTTGCAGAAAATATATCAAAATAGTCATTAGTGGATTCACTATTTTAAATGTTTATTTTTTATAAATGAACCAAACAGTTATCTTCATCTTTGTTGTTTTTATTACATTTCAACTAATGTTCTTTGATCTCCAGTAATCAGTATTATTTTTTCACTTTTCATTAAGATCAGTACAATTCATAGAGATATGGTATTAGTTTGTGACTCATAAGAAATTTGGGAAACATACTGGGAAGAATAAAATCTGATGCTATGTAACAAGAGTTCTCAACCAAAGGTGGAGAGTGGAATCCCCCCGCTTTCCCAGGGGTGAGTTTCAGTGGGTAGAAATCTGCTTTTTTTTTTTTTTTTTTATTTATTTACAGAACTTGGAGCCTATCATGAGTGTCAATAAAAAAAACCTTCTATAAAATGAAACCATGTAAATGTCTATGTACTAATATGGAAAAGAATGAAGATTTTCAATAATATATGCATATTATTTGAACTGCTTCTTTTGAGTTGGACAATCTTGGAAAAGGGGTGGGGATAACATTCTGAGATGGTGAAAAGGGTGCATTTGTTGAGAATCACTGCTATATAATAAGCAAGTCTGCTAATGGTAATATTTTTTTATATGGAAGGCTGTGATGGCCAAGTATAATTCTCTTAAGCCTAGAGTATTCAACCCGCCCAGACTCGCCCCCATAAATATCAGTTCTCAGTGTTCAACCTGCCGTGACCCACCCCATGTATACTTAGCCATAATATATGAGGACATCATCACAAATAATGCCAGAACTCACACAAACAATAAGACTATAACCACAAATTGTGAAACTTTGAAAGCCAATATTTACATGGCAGGTTTGAGACATGTTGAATGCTAAAGGGTTAAATACTATAACTCCCATATTATGTGAAATTTCAGACTGTTGACTTAAGTTTCTTAAAGAAGAACTGTATATATGACACTTGCTTCACTATACAAACTTTCTAGTGTGATTCCTTGTTTATTATTTTAATATCATTCAATTTCAGATAACATTTGTTCATATTTTTCCTGAATTGGTATTAACTGTTATTTGGGATCTATATCATTATTATCATTTTCCTTACATAAGACAAATATCAGAATATGAAGAAAAACACCAGTGACTATCATGTAAAAATAATATGGCTATTAAAACTTAAAGTACCGTTTTAAAATTCTCTTGAGTAAATATGTCAAGCCATCATATCTCTACTTGTGAAATATACGATTGTCACCTAACGTAGTTGATGGTTAAGTTTAAAAGCTTATTACTTTTAATGGGGGTACATTGGACCTTGGTAGCCAAGACTGCATCCATAATGGTAACCTGAACTCTGTTGTTCAAGCCTTAAATTACCATGACTACTGCTTTGACAGCATTAAAGAGATTGCAGCCAAAGCTATTTTAGTCATTATTAATTTGGAGGACACCAATGACTGGTGTACTTAACTGATTGACCATTTGTAGTAGCATGTAAGTAACAATGCTGTGCTTAATTGAAGAGAATGAGCAAGAAAGTGTGGAATGTACCTGTAGGCTGGATAGTAGGTG